AATGTTTCTGGTTTCTATAACAAACACCTTTCACAATATAATGGTAATTGGCGTTTCGCCTATTTATTTACTGTAATAAAAATGTGTAAATGCTTATAGAGTTTTTATTAACATATTTGAGCACCTGTGGCTTCGCCGAAATACTTCAATTGAGATTAGGAGTATGTTTATGTTCAATTTGATATATTGCAAGTATATCGAACTGAATATTAAGCATCTTTTAATCTCAATTGTAGTATTGGCTCGCCGACATTAACAAATCCTGAATACACAGTAGTAAGGACGCAAACCCAGCAATGACCACAGAACATCCGGGGGGGAGGGGTATTTTGGGGCAATGACGTTAGAGAGTCGGAAGCAGCTAATAGATGGCGACAGTGTCAGTAAAAACCTTGTTATCATTTTGTGCATGGGAGTGGGCAATCTATAGTTGTCTTCATCTATGGTTAGTATTAGTTACTAGCTCGCACTTCTAATCGTAGCCAATGTCAGGCGCGTTGTTGGCGGGAAGAAAAATGAAACTCGCCATGTGGCTGTCGTTAATCATCACTGTAATCAGCAGCCATTGAGCAGCACGTCTTTATGTATGATCAGCAGTTGCCATATAAAAAGAATTTTGCTGCATTGCATTTTACTGCTTGCAGAACACGTGTTGGACTCGATTTTGCTAGTGATCTTGTGATTGTTTCATAGTTTGTTGTTCATACTATAAGTTGTGCTAAAAAATATAGATAGCTAGGGGAAAAGATACCACTGACTTATTTATCTATTGCTTCAGATCATGCCTTGACTTTATTATAAAAAGGGTGCATTTTTGTCGTGCGAAAATCGTAACGGGAATCCGGATGTGAGGTTCCACATGTTTCCTCATGGTGCGATTATGTTTCAACACTGGATGGACGTTGTGAATAATCCAGCATTGTCTAAATTAGCTCATACTACTGTTATTCAGTATGCAATAACCATGTTATAGTATCTCAATTACAAACTCCCGAAAGAAAGACGCTGCTGACAAAAGCTATTCCCAAAAGTTTTATAGCTCCTAACATTTACATGCCATCGGCTATTGATTCGGAGACACATCCGCACACAGGTAGAGATACTTTTTTTGACAGAAAAAATGTTTATAAAAACAAAATACTTATCAGCTATAGAAACTTCTCATGATGATTCTACTTCTGTCGAACGGGAACAAGAATCAACTTTTTCGATGCCTACGCATAATGTAGATAGTGAAATCGGTAAGT